GAATTATCATTCCCAAATTTTCTGTTTCTCTTTAATTTTTATTTGACCAATTGAATTTGTTATTTAAACAGGGGTAATTGATGAGTAGGTGCACCACAACAAAACAGCAACCCAGGACTCAAAACTCTGAATCCAAAACAGCAACTTCTCAGGTTGCAACCTTCTGAGTTGGAGAATTTTGAACCAGTTGCAGGCACAAACTTTATCCTAGAGAGGGTGATAACACAAAGCAATCATCACACAAGCACCAGCTATCAGTGATCAATGTCCATATGATAACAATCAAGCCTGATATGAGGAGAAGACAAGGGAAAGTTTTCTCCAAAGCCTACCAACAATAATTTATTATTGTGAATCCCAGAGACTTGAGTAAACACACAATATTGTTTCGAAATCAGACTTCTTGAAATTTCATTCCTGCATGGTCCTAGTATTATCATTACATGGGTGATGTAATTGTTTGTTACATCAATGACAATATCAAATGTATTGAATAATCATTGTGATGTATATGGGACAAAGGAATTCACACATGAGGAAAGGATTAGATAACAACAAAAAAGCTAAGTATTATCTATATAATTAATTATTTTAAAAAATTATTATTTTAATCCACATTTGTAATGCCATTAATTTCAATAATTATGAAGTTTCTTTAATGTTAATGATTGAAATCAATCACACAGGTGGTAGTCAATTTATTAAAAAATAGTATTATTTGTAATGATATTTGTAAAAAAAATTGTTAAAGGATTAATTTTTTTTTTGTAAAATGTTTGATAAAAAATAAATTTAAACATTTTGCTTTGTTTTTATTTTAGTAGATTTAATAAGTTTAGCAAAAATGCACATGATTTATTTAAAAAAAAAATATCAATCAACTTGTATAAATATGATTAAAAATAATAATAAAAGATATAGGAAATTGAAATTTACATGCACACAAACACTAATTTCTTTAGTCATTTTTTTAGAAATAACAATAATTCTCTTTTATTTATTTGTTTGTTAATTTTAGTCTGATCAATAAATCTTGGATTATTATTATTATTATTATTATTTGTAAATCAAATAGTAATTTCAATGATTTTTTGATCTTTTCTTTCAAAAATATCAATAATTCTCTCAAATAAAATGATCATTATTTATTTGTTTATCTGTTTCAGTTGATCAATAAATCTCAGGTCTCAAGATAATTTATCTTATCCATTTTTAGTAATAATAAATAACTTAAATCTAACATAATTATTTTTCATGGAACCAATTTGAAGATTTTTATTTTCTTTTTTATATCAATTATTTAATATACAGTGTGTAACGAAAAAAATTGCCCCCGCGAAAAATCTAATTATTCAACAGATACACAAGATAATTAAATAAAATTAGATTCGTTTAAAAGTTTATCAATTACTTTGTTAAATAAAAAAAATTGACATGAAATGCTATTGCCAATTTTCTGTAAAGTTAATTCATATTCTTTTTTTAAACTCCACTAAAATTTTTGTCTCTGAAATTTTAACACAGAACTTTTCAATAATAGCTCTAACATAAAAACGTGCATAATAATTGCACAAAAAAATGCATAAGTTTGCAGCCAAAGTCTTGGAGATTGTGAAATATAAAATTTTATGCATCCAGATTTTCTAGAACTTTTCAATTGAAAATAAAAGAAATTTGATTATTTTGAAAAACAATTTCAATGTATAAATTTCTTTAAATAATGGCTCTAAAGCCCGCATGACAACATACTTCAAAATTTTTATATATTATAATCTAAGATCTTTTGGTTCTTTGGTATAATTTTTATTGCATAATTTTGGCTACTTTTTCATTAATGGAGATATTTTTTGTGAGGGCAATTTTTTTCATTACACACTGTATACTTGAAAATATTTCTGATATTTATTTGCAGATCCACTCAAATTTAATTCTTTTGCTCATCACCACAGGACCAATTTTAGAATCTCTTCAATTTTAAAATAAATGAATACCT